ATTTTTTAATTTACTCAGAAACATCAAAATGTGTGGTTTATATGAACTTAATATAGAAATGATTGGCGAGTTAAACCAAAATAAATAATACTCACAAAAAAACTCGTGTATATAAAATGAATTTATTTTACATTAACATAAATACATATATTTTTTGATCTCTAATATAAATATATTTATATGTATATATAAGGGATGTGTACTTGATCCGAATTCAATTGGTTCTGACTTGATCTGATGGGTTGATTTTTTGAAATTGAATTTGGGTAGAGTTTTTTTTTTTGAAATGATGGGATTGGATCAAATTTGGATTTAGGGTGAAGAAACTCAACTCGAGATAATATTATAATTATTCTTTATATATTTAGAAATAATTATAATAATACTCTCTATATTATTTTCCAATCAGATCATTGTTTTATCTAATAAAAAAGTATATTTAGATGGATTGAATGTGAATTCCAACTTCAAAAATCGAATTTGATTTTAGTTTGAATGGAGTTCTCATAGATTCACATCAAGTCGAATATAAATGAAAGAAATTTAATTTTCAAGTTAAAATCAAATATGGTAAAAAACATATTTTGATTTGACCCATGATCCATGATCATCCTATATATATCTACCAATCGTAAAACATTGCTAAATCCCACACGTTTGATACCAATCCTATGTCCTAAATCCTCTAGGAAAGTCTCATGTGTGTGTATATATATTACAATTATTGATATCTGATTTATTAATTAATTAATTTGAATTAGATATTGCAGAAGAGATAACGACCTTCCTAATTTAGTTTGTTTTATTTATAAATATCAAAATTTGAACTTTCAATCTTATAAGTGATCTAGTATCTAATCCTTAGTATTATTATTTAGCTCGGAAGAATCTACATATTACAAGTAATCAGAAATCACACAGAGCTGACAAGCCAGCTATGTGTAGTTTAAAGGCCTTTCCCTTCCGCATGTTAAACTTTCTAAGCCCTTTTGATTGAATCTCCGGTTTCCACATTCACATTTCCGTAGCTGCAAATATGGGTGGGAATTCAAATATATGTAACAGAGCTGTCAAAGCAATGTGTAATAAAAATGACACACACACATATACGCGTTGGAGGAAAAAAAGGACAAATTTTAAATAGAAGAGACGGTGTAAAGGTGGATGATGATTAACTGTAAATATTGAATTAGGTAAATGAAGAACATGGATGATGTTAAGTAGGTACTCGATTGTGATTCACGTGCCCTGTCACATGAATCATGATTATGTTATTCTAATCCAGATGAAGCCAGAAAATAAGTGTAATTATATAATAGTCAAATTCAGCATCCCACATGCGTTGCACTCGGCAACTTCTAAGTTAAATGCCGGTGAGAGATTTGATTGAAAATAAAAAGAGTACAAAATAATATCATCAAGTAAATATTAATTTAAATGAATATAAAATAATATTTATTTAAAAGATTTTAAATCATTTAATAATTGGTTGTCATTTCATATGTTTGTTCTAGAAAAACAAACACAAGGCATCCATCTCCATCTCGGAAGCATAAAATCAATGGTCAATGTTAAGCCAATACATATTTACATGTTAAAGGTAGTGGGGGTTATGACAAACCACGTGCAAAAGAACTCGCATGCATGACTTCCCTTATAAACCTGTTTGACCTCCTTTGAATGATTCCTCATTCACTCTTTTTTCAATTTTGGCTTTCACTGAACCTCCGTTGTGATGAAGATCAGTTGCATAAATTTGACAGCGTTAATTCTACTTCACATCCTCATCTCGTTGTGTCTCGTCCATGGCGTTTCCTCTGGAGAAACAGATCGGATTACTATCTCCAGGAAGCTGCTGTCGTCGGTGGCTTCATTGGCTACCGGTAACGGAGCAGCCGTGAAAGAGCCCAAGAAAGCTGTGGAGCCAAGTCTGAGGAAAGCGCCACCCAGTGTCCCCAACCCTACCCAGAACTAGCATTCTTTATCATCTCTCAACCGTGAGTTGAAGGATTCATAAGCTTTGGATCTTTAGTCTTGGCCTTCTTTCAACTCTTAAGTTTTGAAAAGTTTAGTGTTCCCTTAAAGTAGGAAATGAGATGTATGTAAATAAAGAAGTTGAATTAGTTCAGTTACTTTTATTCTTTAATTCTATCTTTCTTATGCTTCAAGTTATCTCTTCAAATTTAAGATTTATTAGTTTTCTCTAATATATAATTGAGTTAATTTTTTCCCATTATTTTGAAAGATTTATATTTAAAGCAGTGGCAAAATATAAAGTGATACACTGCAGATGAATGCTTTATTGTTAAAACTTCAATGAATTGTATCTACTTTAATTAAGGAGTTTTAAATGAGATTTTGATGTTGGCTTCACTGTAATGATATAAATCTATGCACTAAAAATAGATATTGGAAACCCATTTCTAAGTACTAAGATGAGTTTTTCAAATTCAACCCTTCAAAACTAAAGATATTTTGATAAAAAATTTTTTTGGTTTTAACCAAAAATGACACTGTAGTGGTCAAGTTTGGCCAAACTAGTTCGTGATTTTTTTGGGGGTTAAATTGACCTTTAAACTTTTTTGGACCAAATTAATTCTTAACTTGACAAATTGAATCAAATTAACCCTTAACTTAATAGACCAATGGAGGCCTTAAATCTATTCCCTCCAAGCTTCTTGCCATCATAAAAAATCAATGGTATAATTACGCATTTTATCCCTCAACCTTAAAATCCTTAATAAAATTCCCTTTTTCTAGACCAAATTGTACCCAATTCTAACCCAAATGAGGCCGACTTACCCTAAAAGTCCAATTAAGCTCTTAAACCAACTTAATGTTATCTCAGGTCAGCTCTCTTTCACTCGAAATTTCAATCGTTATAACTCTTTCATCCTTAAAAGAAATTTCATTCTCAGATGGCCTTTTCCGCTCCATGGTTCCTTCATAAGACCTTTACCAACAAAATTTGCTTGGTGAATCTCCGTGGTTCCTCCACAACCTCCTTAATACATAATTGATTCAATCTCTTAAGAGACAAATCATATGAACTGTCTTGGTCAATTAATCCACCATTGTGAAAGCCGAAGATGTGATAACAATAACAATAACAATAACAATAGAAGAAAATGTAACTAGATCGACAACAATGGAGGATATGTTTAAGCAAATACTAAACTCCAAATCCCTTCAAAAAGAAATATTAAACTTTCGTTTCAATAGTTATTTCTTGTGGGAACCCCATCAGAAAAATCTCCGACGTTGAAGTTAAGGTATAGATAAGGACAGACGTAATATTTTATGCTAAGGGGCGAACTTCTTAAATTTTAGGAGAAGATAAACTTATAAAATTCTAGGAGATAAAAACATATTATCAATAGAAAATACAATGAAAATATCTAAAATATATAATAATTTAAAATTTTTAGAAGGGATAACTGATCGATTTATCCCTGGGTACAGAGAATATGTTTAATTCATCGACTATGTCAATAGGTACCTTATGTTACTAGCTTCATGCCATGACAATGGCGTCGTGCCTTTGATCGTATGAGATCGTCATGACTTTTTCTCTCCGAATTGGAGTTGTGCTTTTAACAAAACGTGTTCCTCTTCTCCTTTCCTTTCCTTTTGGTGCTTCATATTATTGTTTCAAAGTGTGGAAAGATTAAAGGAAACTAAAATGATGTGTTATTCTTGTGGGAAAGGGCTTTCTCAAATTTTATATTTGGTATTATCTCAAAATTAAACTCGAATCTTTTTACAACTTTAACCATATATGATGCTTTTTTTATGACTACAAACCGATATGCACGAATACAAAGATGACGGTCTTCAAGTATTTAAAGTCAAAAGTGATATGAACAACGGATCTTTGCAATCAGCATGAGATATAAGTAGTTGGAAACCTAGTTTGCATGACTAGCAAAACTTAAAACTTTGGTAAATTTTCCAGGATAACATGGTGAACTTAATAATTGGGATGATGATCATCATCATGACTTGACTGGAAAAAAATTGCTTCGAAGTTTTCAAATTTCTTCCACAAATGGGACAATAAAATATATATTTATGATAGAAATTTAGAAGTAGAAATAAAAATAAAAATGGTATTAATATAAAATAAGATACGTGCAAGAGATGATATATAATGTGGTTTAGCATTGTCTACCTCAACGAGTGAGAATAATATATAATAATCCACTATAAATGTCGAGATCACGAAATGTACGAATAAATGATATCACATGTATCATAAAATTCGGTATCTGCACCAAAATCCGGAATACCCTAAATCACTATCTCAATATCCCTACAAAACTTATCATTGTAACATAAACCTTAAAAGTTAAAGAGATCTAAAAAAGAATTATATCTCTCCAAAATAAATTCTCTCTCACTTAATCATCTAAGTGGTAAGATATACCCTCTATTTGTAGAGTCGAATACGTGGTCACCAAAAAATTTTATTCCATAAAAATTCTTTTCTAGAATAAATATTTACTTATTAAATAAATTCAATTATCAAATAATCTTTCATCACTAAGTTTACAATAAAATTTAATTTTACTATTAATTATAATTTAGATCCAAATAAAACAATTTCTAATTCAAAAGGTTAACTTAATACATTGGTAGAAGGGTTACAACTTGAAAATTTTAAGAAATGAATTAAGATACTGATCCCAACATGATATATTTAAGAGAAAATAACCTCAGTGACCAAAAATGCCTTATAATATACGATTTTAACCAATTTTTTTTGAATTTGTCAAAATGAAGGGTGAAAAAGAACAAAAAAATTCATCTGAAAATCGTAACTGATTTCATCTAAAGATGTGTTGAATTACTACTTAAGATGAGAAAGGAGATGAAGGTTTTGTAGGAGTTTAATTCCAGTACTCATACCAATTATATGTAGTCTTACAAGTGAAAATTAAAGCATCACAAATTTTAAGACAAAGAACCCACACTCTTGTCGTTTTACGACCATACATTGGTCACATACTTCTCGCCATCATCTCCTGGAATCTCCTGTAAGACTCCTGCTTCTCCAACATAAACTTTTCGTGACAATTAGCGATGAACATTTCTGCTAACTCATCAATCTCGTTGATATCCGTCTCACCTTTAGGTTCTTCATTAACCTTGTTTTCTTCAAGCCATTGAAGGTACCCTGAAAGCTCGGACTCCACAGTCTCCTCTTGACCGAAATTCGAGGTCGAATTACAACAGCCTTGGAGAACAGGTGCTGGAACGGGTGTGACATGAGAAGAGCACCAATTAATGTGCAGCCTAAATGAACCGAAGAAGAACTTCTTGTGCTTGTACTTCTTTTTGGATGAGTTGGAAATGAGAAATTGAATGGGGATGTTCTGTTTGTAAATATGAATGACAATGGATTTTGCTTTCGAGAATGCTCGAATGAGACGACAAGCCTGAGTGTAGATTAGGGTTTGGATTAGAGCTTTGATCTTCATGGAGCTTAAGTAGGAGGATGGTGATTTCATTGACAAGGCTTCAAAGGGGAGGGAGTGGCCAACCTTGTTTAATTTTATCTTTTGGGATGCCGCAAACCAAGTTTTATAAAGGGTGTCCGATTACTCATTTGCCACTTGAATTTTGAGTTATTTGCAGATTTAGAAATTAATTTGTTTTTCTTTCACCTTTTGTATTGGAGAGGGCGGCGTTAAGGGAATTTTTTGGGTTAGAAGCTTCGACATATTACCAATAATTAGTTATTTAAATGTGCTCATAATTAATTTGATTATGATTTTTATTATATTTTTAGGGATGATTTTTGGAAATTGTCAGTTTTTTTTATCAGTTAAGGTGTCTGTATAAATTTTTTCACTTCTTCGAACTTTTGAAGAACTTATATCCTCTTAAATCAAGAGCATTATAAATTTGAGTTAATTACAATACATTGAAAAGATCTTTGACAGACTTACGAAAATTGTTATGAACTGAAAAAATCACTATAAAGACATTTTAACCAAGAATGAGAAGGGAGGCTGTCTCCTTCCTTTCTCATATGTATTGTTCATTTTCTCTTCTACGTTACCCTTCTCATCCACGCTTCGTTTACCTCTATCATATTTGGTTTAGCATTTACGTGGGAATTATTGCTTGTTCTCATTAAATAATTCTTCTTCAAAACAATTAATCTTAGCAACAGAATGCACGATTGACCATGATTTTTACTCATTTTTGCAGCTCCAAATTGATTTCCCAACAATCTCAACTGTTAGTTATTTAACGATTGTCATTAAAACAGTTCGTTCTTTCTCGACTTATAATTTTTAGTTGATTATTGCTACAAATATATAGTTCAAGATTTGTTCCATAACTTAAAAAAATTAATGAATTATACTTATCGAGTGATTTTAATAGTAAAAGTGAATACTATTTTTTTTGTAGAAAGTTCAAATAGTTGTGTAGTATGCGTGTTACCAATAAATTAAAAAAATTATAAATATATATTATCTTATAATCATATTAGATTATTCAAAAAATATCAACAATTTAAATGTGTTATTTACTGTGCATCGTAAAACTCGTTCTACGATGATTCACTCTTTTACATGTCTCAAAATATAATATATTTTCATTTGACGAGAATTTATTGGGGAAAAATTTAGGAAGTTCTACCGTACGACAGTTTTAATATATGGCAAAGGAAATGAACTACCGATTTTGTTATTTTTTTAACAAAACCGATAAAAATTTACCGAAAACATTATTATTTCTACCAAAAATATTATTAAACGCTTTACCGAGTATGATAATATATCTAGTAAAGTGTTATCTAAAACATTATTGTTTCTACCAGATATATTATCAAACCCAATAAACACCTAATAATAACATTTCCGATAAAATAATAATATTTTCAATAACTTTTACCAATTTTATAAAAAATAATAAAATTAATAATATCTTTCCTTAATCTATATTAAACTGACATATAAGACTTTGAATAAATTACCCTGAATGTTATCATAATTTGAGCTACGTGTCAAATATTTAGTGGAGGGACACCACAGATTTGTTCTGAAGTCTAAAGACAGCATTGGTTGTCGTGCTACTTAAAGAAACATGTGGCAATGAAATTGAGAAGTTGTATATGGCAAAAGATTTGCAGTGTTTTTATTCTGACATAACAGAGGCTGTATATGGCCATGACACGGTAAAATAAAGCAAACCCAAAGACAACTTTAATCTGTTACATAAAGATACATACCCTTCCAAAATTACTTGTCGAAAGTTCCCGTGTAAATTCCAAAATTGCAACTATACAAAATGTAATCTATTCCTGACGTTTTGCAATTTGAATGATAGTCATCTGTGACATAAAGATACATACCCTCAACATATCTCTCTAATCACCTCTATGTACACGGATGAGAAAAATGATGCTATAATTGTAGAGAAGTACAATTACATCGAGCAAACAGCCAAACAAAGTTGAAAATGTTGTGATCTGCTTTGGAAAATAAATCGAGCAACATACTAATTTTGGGTAGTGAAAAAAAAAAACACTAAATTGCAATGCAAATGTGAACATGGAGAGATTGTACACATCTTTTCTTCAGCTGATGCATGTTTAGATCCTTGAAATCCAAAAAGTGATCCTGTTTTGATGGCCATAAGATTCATACATGAGCAAATTTCATATTCTTTGAATTATGCCCAAGGAAATGGAACTGATGAAAGGAAGAAAGAAAGCAGCCTTCATCTTTGATAGTTTTGGTTTCGTTTTTAATAGTATGAGGTGATTATAAGGTATTATTTGTTCATAATCTTTCTTAACCATCAATAAACACCCTACAAACACAATTGTTCGAATCCGTGATCTCAATGGAAAATAACACTCTTTTTAACCATCGAAGCCACTCAATAGATTCGACAGCTTTGGTTTTTATGACATAAAAATTTCCAACTATGTCATTAGCACATGGGAAGTTTAAAGGAGAAGTTGGGCATGAGATAATCCAATTTCCCATCGTTTTCATCTATGAATTGGGTTGTTTTTCATGCACATGAATGTGGGACTACAAATGATCTTTGCTTCTACATCACCATATTCACTACCAATCATCAAGGATATGAAACTATCTTAAAGGTTTTACAATTTCGTACTAAAGTTACTCTAGTTAAACATTAAGAAAACGTGTCATAAAAACGACAAAGCTAAAAAAAATTAATTTAATAAATCTTTCTCCAACAATCAAAATGATCTTAGATAGTTAAGCCTACCAAAAGGCAAATTAACTCAAGAAAAAAATAGTGGGGGAGTGAATAGTCGATCAAATTAAATTAATCCATTTCTTTTATTTATTCAGGTCATTTTTCAATTTTGAGTAATTATTTAATTGGATAATTGATTTTGAAAATCTAAATCGGTTACAAATAATTTTTTGTAAATAATATTTTAAATTAATTTAATCTAAATACGATAATGAAGTACTAAATATGAAGCAAATCTAATATTTTTTTATGAATAAAGATATGAGCGTAAACACAAAACTGCATACGGCATAATCTCACATTGAACAGGCTTTCATGTACAGGGATGGACCGAAAGGAGGGGAGAACGAGTGGGAGCAATCACCCCTAACATAAAATCTTACGTCTATTCTTGTCTATGTATAATATAATCCCTTATAGACATCTCATAACTCGGCTTCAAGCACCATGTTATTTCACAGTCTGTAAAGGCATCCTGGTTTAGAAATTTATCTGATAAGGGACCAATATCACTAATCCATGGATTATTCCAAAAGCACCACAGCCTTTCCTTTACCAATATTCTATGTAATTCATGCTCCAACATCCTCCCAAAGAATATTCAAACCTTTTTGAAGTCTCAAACAACTTCGTCGATCAATTCACTAAGGTAATCAACCCTCCAATTTGGTGGAAAAGGGATAGAACTGCAGCGGAAAACTTTTCTCTCTCTTTGTGACAATTAAAAGGGATACTAAAACAAAGTAAGGAAATAAGAACATACTGAATTTTGATGACGCAGAAAACTCAAATTGAAAAAAAAAATTGGGATTACAAAAATATCTCGTTCAATATAGATGATTTACAAATTCTTCCAACAAACTGTCACAATAAATGTCACGAAGTATTGACTCATTCTTTTTCTATCTCTCACTCAGAGGAATACTTACTCTTTGTTAGAGTCGTCTCTCTCACCCTCTTCTATGATGTTGCAGAGTCTTCTCAATGTCACCTTCTTATAGTATAACAATGAGATAACTAAATGATCATCATACATGACTTCTAGACAATTCCACCATGCATGAATGTATCTAAGAAATAAAACTTTAATTATTGTCACATGAACGTGGGGAGAAGTCAACCTTAATCACCAATTAAGGAGGGATGCATCCAACAACTCTTCCTGACTTAATTTGAAGAAATAAGCAAACTGATGTTTTGACAACATTCTTAGAACTTATTGTTGGAATGGTTTTTGTCATCATATAAAACAAGTTCTGATCGATGTGAATTTTAATCAAATTAAGTGAATTTTCTTTAACATATCTTGTATCCAAATATAATGAATGTCAATATGTTTTGTCTGAGACTGATAGGTAAACTTCTTAACTAAATGAATGACACTTTGACTATCACAATTGAAAATATAATTCTCTCTTGTGGCCTAATTCCAACAAGAAATTCTTCATCCTTAAGTTCTTTGCTAACTTCAGTTGTAGCATGTTGAATCAAAATAGAGTAAAAACTCTAATTGATCGGAAAAAAAAAACTCTCTTTAGAATAATCTCACAAAATTGCAAAAGGGAAGAACTCTTAAGAAAGCTTTCAAATGCTTATAATTAAGCTTTGATTGTTGGATGATAAAACTCAAATACAAGTAGGGTATTTATAGGTTACAAGAAACAATCTAAACCACTCTTTAAAATAAACACTAAATAATCTAAACCATTGAAATTAAAACATGAGAAAAATACTTAATTTTCACCTAACTAAATTGATGTAAGCAATGACATCAAAACTAAATTGATGTAAGCAATGACATCAAATTAATTTAGGTGTGAACATATAGGCTAATATTGAATTTTCAACACTCCCCCTCAATGTTAGCCTCCATTCTTTTAATCACGCCATGCTGACGACGGAAATGTTCAAACTTTCCAACACTCAAGCTTTTTGTAAACAAGTCAGCAATTTGCTCATCTGTCTTGATTTGCCTCATCTCAATCTCTTTTTGCAAAACTTTTTCCCTAACAAAGTGGTAATGTACTTCCACATGTTTAGTTCTTGCATGAAAGACAGGATTCTCCGCCACCGAATTGTCGATTGGTTGTCACAATACAACGAAATTGCATAATCTCTACTGGTGATGTAGATTATCATCAACTGTATCACCATGTACTCTCTTGAGCTGCCATTGCTGCTGCTCGATACTCAGCTTCAGTGGTTGACAAGATACCGTGGTTGTCTTTTGCTACACCAAGAAATTATTCCGGAGCCAAGC